CCCCAAAACCCCAAAACCCCAAAACCCCGCCATAATAGATATAGTATAATATTTGATAATTAATAATAAATTATATATTTTTGAGTAATGAAGAATAATGCCTTATCACAAAGAGAACCAGGAGATGCACACAAAGTGCACTCAAATGGCCAACTGCTGTAGGAACAAGTTTCTCCTCCGAAAAACAATAACAGAAGAAGTTTCTCTAAATTAGACCTTGTTCCTGTTGAAGAGGAAGTCAAAACTTGTAAGTAAGATTCTTCGTCATATTTAGTCACTCTTGGCATTGATGAATAGTTTCTTAAATAAGTTTATTATTCAACAATAAATGCTCTCATTCGAACTATTTCTAATTAAAAGTACTAATATAGCATGCGCTTGGAGGTTGTGTTGCTGTTGCTATTATATATTTTGCTGTTGCTGCTGTGAGTCAGGAGGTATCAAGATATCAAAGAACAATTTCGTGTCTCGTTTTGAAAAATGGCTGAAAATCGTAATTATAAGCTTTCTCATAATCTTATTTTAATTTCAGACTCATTAAAGCAAGCAAAATGAGGATGTTTTATCATTATTGACACAGCTCTATGCTCATGATCCTATTGCTGTTAAAAAGATTGAAACTAAGAGAGTAAACCCTGACTTTACTTCACAATTCAGAAATGATTTGGAATTCTTTATACCCTAGTTATGCTCTTTTTATGCATTGGGAGACTATGAGAAGCCCTAAGATATTCTGAATCTTATAGTTATGGCTTCAGGGTCCAGTTTTTTCTTTTCTCACAGAGTCTGGTTTTTCTTCTAGTCACTTATCATTAACTTGGAGGAAGAGGACTCAAGGGAACTTTACAGAAAGTCTAGATTAGCATTAAAAGGTATCAAAGATGCCTGTCAAAAATCTAAAGAGAGACTTTATCTGGCTAACTCTGTTGATCTCATTGACTTAATTCATCAATTCAAACTGCTGCAGTTCTATCCCTAGCTAAGTGAAGTATAAATAACTGATCAACCACAGTAAAAACATAAAAAGGTGATGAGGGACACAACATTTGTAAATCTGTTCTAAAAGATTGAGAGAAGAGAATCAAGTTCAGAGTACTCTAAAAATGCGATGCTAAAGTATAAAAACCAAGAAATTGATGCTACAGAGAAGGTCTAGTCAAGAATATAAAAAGTGAAGAAAGTCATTGACAACTATATTGAGAATAATTCTTAAAGAATTACCAAAAATTAAGGAGGAGCTTAGCTACAGTTATCAATCAATAAAAGTTTTGGAACAAAAGAAGAATTAAAAGAATCTCCTTCTCCATAGCTAGAAAAAGAGGAAGAGGAAGAAGACATAGTGATTACAGCCCAAGATATTATATTAGAACCATTTATAAGAGATGATGACCGTACATTCAAAGAGACAATGGTAAACGTATTGCCCTTAGATGAAAACAATCAAACAAAAAAATATCATGGTATTTTGAATTGGTTTTAATACTATTTCTAGCTTTGAATGCTTACTTGTCAACTCCTAAGTTTATAAAAGCACTTACAGATATTTCTAATGAACTCATTCATACACCGAATAGAGAGGAATACCTAAGGGAAGAGCTGAAAAAGGTTAATAAAATGCTTCCAGCTGCTGTTTATGTTCCATTTGTCAACAGTAATTTCAATTATAAAGTCATCAATATTTACTAGACTCAATGAGAAATTATGCAATTCTTCATATTGTGACTGATGAGGCTAAGGTTTTCTAAACTAAAGAAAGAGCACCACTATTATTATGTCTAGAAGCTTTCAGACCTGAAGAATTGCTACTCTTAAAGCCTGAGAAACCCATCGGAAAATTTAACAAGTTAAAGAATATATTATCAGTCAACGATTAGAAACAGTATGAGAATTATAGAAGTTCTTCATGGGATTCATCCCATTTGAAGACAGAAGGAGAATTGGATGATCCTTTTGAAAATACTCACAAAACAGCAGTGGTCAAGAATCCTTATTAGGAATACAAGAAGTAGCAGAAAAAGAAGAAGATAGATAAGAACTCATTAGCACTATTGGGTAGGAATGATGAAGCCCTTCTAGGTAATGAAGAATCAGACAAAAGAAAGACATATAAATTTTCATTCAAGCAAAGTAGAGATCAAGGCAAAAATAAGTCTGAGAGAGAAAAGTAAGAACTCAAAGATAGAGTAAATAAACTCCTTGATAAAAAAGCCTCAAACCCTCTCATTATTCAGAATCTCAGAAGAGTAAGAAATATATCAATTTTTTTACTAAAAATAAAACTTTTTATAGTCTGATTCGCTATTCAATAAGATTAAAGTAAATGATAATTATTTCAGCAGATAGACAAATAATTTAGCTCCCATTTCTGAAGAAACTGAGGGTAATGAGAGTAATCAGAGAGAACTTGATCAAGATCCAAATAACTAATTCTTTAACAATCTCGAGGGAGTAAAAGAAAATTAAACTGATGAAACAATCAAACCAAGTTATGAATCTACATAACAAAAGAAAAGTAGGATTTATTAACATAATTCTTATAGACTTCTTGGAAAAGTCTGATCCAAGATACTCAACACCAATGGCATCATAAATGTTGAAATTTTAATCATTCAATAATGAAGACTCATAAAAATTTTAAGCACAAAGTAAATCGATTTTTGAATTTACATTATAACAGAGGAGTACTTTGTAACTCCAGATAATGATAATGAAATCAAAGAAGAGGACTCAATCAATAGATCTTCTAAGAAGTATGATACTGAGAGAAGATCAATGTCAATGTTGGAGCCAAACGAATCTGAAGAGCTTTAAGCTTTCCTAAAATAAAGGAAATAGCATAAAACATTGAAAAATTCAATTAATGATGAGGATAGATCAACTGTGATGCAGCAAGCGTTTTTCGAAGGAAGGCCCATTAATAATGTGTTTTTAGAGACATCAGTAGAGTAGGATGAGAGAGTCAGAAGAAATTCTCCATTTGGAAATCTAAAGACTTGGAGACTTATCAAGATCATTGTAAAGAGCAACGATGATGTTAGATAGGAGTAATTTGCTATGCAGCTCATAAGCTAAATGGATCAAATTTTTAAACTTAAAAAGATCAACTTATGGCTTAAACCATACGAAATTCTAGCAACAGGAGCTAGATGTGGATTATTAGAAGTAGTATCTGATGCTCTATCAATTGATAGTATAAAGAAAAAAATGGGTTAGTAGGCTAAGCTTATTGATTATTTCTATAAGCAGTTTGGAGAAAAGAAATAAAAGAGTAAGGATTTATTTTTTATAACATCTAATAGAATTCAATAAGGCAAAGTAAAATTTCTGCAGATCTCTGGCAGCTTACTCTTTAGTTACATATATTTTGTAAGTTAAGGACAGACACAATGGAAACATTATGGTTGATATAGAAGGACATATTCTTCATATTGATTTTGGATTTTTACTATCAAATGCACCAGGAAAGGGTGTCTAACTTGAGAAAAAGGCTCCATTTAAGCTTACTATGGAGCTTGTAGAAGTCTTAGGAGGTTTGAAATCTAAGAAGTTCAGAGAATATCGCGAATTAATGAGGCTAGGTTTCATGGCTTTACAAGAACATGCAGATAAAATTATCAAACTAGTTGAAATGATGTTCTTGAGTTAACCTGACTTACCTTGCTTTATCTAGGGAGAATCTCTCATCAAAGAACTTAAAGAAAGAATACTCCCTGGAGGACACTAGATGTCTGAGATAGAGGCAGCTAGGCATATTGATTAGCTCATACAAGTAAGCTATGAGAACTGGAGGACAAAGATCTATGACAAGTTCTAATACTGCTGTCAAGGTATAGTCTGAGACACCGAATCACTAAAGTTATCAAACATTCCTACTATTAAGTAGATATAAGATAGCTATCAGTAATATCAGAAAATCCAATCTTAGAGTGAATAATTATTATCATTCAATAATATAATTATCCAATTTTGTATAATGATATAGTCAATTTATGGGGTTTTGGGGTTTTGGGG